ATGGCCGACACGTTTGATTTGATGAGGCACTGATATTTCCGCGAATCAAAATCAACGATGCAAATGCGCACTGATGAGTATCCTGACTTCGGTCGTTTGAAAAACATTTGCGCGATCATTGGCGTCTTGACACGTAGGAATGTTAAGGTGAAAGATATCTTGGTCAATTAGTAACGTCAAAGCTTCGATTTTCTGCGTCATCCGATCCAAACATCCGCGTCATTTTTATTCATGTAACGTGTAACGTATAAATTATGTGACATATATGTTCGAAGATAAAAAAAGAGATCAGGAAAAAAATTAAGAAGTGGCTCAGTTAAAATTGTTACCGGCGCGTTATTTCAGCGGGTGTTTCGCAATCGCGATTATTTTAGAAATCACGTTTCGGATGTATCACACATTCGCGGGGCAGTTCAGTTTATCACGTGCGACACAGAACGCTTCCACGTCCTACGGTATTGCACTGATTGAATTGCAGATAGGTACGCAGCGACAGTTCCTAACTACAGAAACAATGGGCGCCGGTTATTGTATGCTGATTTTCTCTCGCGGATTTTGAAAGTCTGTTTCTCCGAAGAGTAAGCACGCGCCGCGCGATAAAATTTAATAAACCGGTACTCTCTCGGGAGACGGAAAGTGTACCGTAGCACCGCGTTCCGTTTCACCGCTGACGTGCAGCATTAGCAATACGTTTCGTTGTGTTTGATATAATGATTATAATATTTGGCGATGTCCGTTGTAGAACTTATTCTCGAATATATTATACATGCCTCTTTCTTCATTATGGGAATTTAGTTTCCCTCGTTAGCCCTATAGGATAGAACAAGCTCACGAAGAAATGGAATTTCGTAGGACGAATATAGAAATAGAAAAACGAAATTTAATTTACAGTAACGGTAACGATAATAAAGCAAGTTGAAATAGAGCTTCGAACGTCGTAAGATATTTCGGAACTAATCAAAATGCTTAAAAAATGACTCACGGTACGATGTTAATCGTCCAGAGAGAATCGTCCGCCGCGGTCGTTCTGTATTCGCTTTACCTACGCTTTACGGTCAGTGTTGTGAATGGCAAGATCGTATGTTAGAAATTTTTACGGCGCGCCAATATGGTCGCGGGGATTTGTCCTCGGAAGCTATTTGCTTACATTAGAATCCGCCTCAATTCAAGGGAAGAGGAAGCGACTCGAGTATACTCGGGTCTCTACTCGGGGATAGACGAGTAGTACGGATTGATGCACGAGGACGATTCGCGTTTGCCTTTGGGAGAGAAAAAGAACGAGATGCGTGCGCGCGGTTATACTCGACCAGATCCGCTTCTCAGGAGGAGAGATAAGACTTCGCTCGGCGAAGAACGCGCGAGAAGAGGTATACGAGACTCGTGGAGACAGCTGAAAACTCTCGCGGAAATGGATCGCCGCAAACTCGAGAATTATTTCTTCGGACTGTTACGTGTCTCAGGCGAAGATATTCTACCATGATTACTAATGTAATGCTATCCCTTCGGATTATCTTGCGAATTTAAGTGCGCTATCACTTATTTAAATGGCGCTCTACTTGAACGGCCGTGTCAATTTTCTTTCTATTAATAATTCAGACACGGAAACAATTTTAAAGAATGAGAGACAGAGAGAGAGAGAGAGAGAGAGTTGTTAGGAAAAAAAATAAACATTTGTATGTGCACTTTATGCGAATATATTTTAGATATTGAAAAAATATAGTAAATCTTAATAGATGCAACTGACATTCCATTTAAGCGGACGAAAAAATCAGAGAAAGCTAAGATAATAACGTCGTACACCAAATAAACATGTTTTCAATCCCGCTTTGCTGCGTTACACTTGATTGTCCATTAATGTACTTTCGTTATTGGAGCCGCAATTCGCGTTTGTTCTAGCATAAAACGCGATCATGTATAATTCTGTACCTATAAAGACGACTACGTGGGATAGCAGTCTTCTATCGCTGTCTATCGCGTTAACGCGAAAGTAATGGAATATGTACTGTTAAGTTTCGAGCAAACGATGCTATAATAGCTTCCGTGCGATGAAGTACAGTGACAGGCGCTTTTAGCGATAGAACGATAGAAAATACATTTTTATTTACTACCATCTCGAATATCAAACACATGTATTAATAGTAATATATATATGAAGAATGACAAGTGTTAAACAAGCTCGATTAATGACAGCGATAAAAATCAAGCAGACAAGTCAAAAACAGTGGCGTTCGATTAAGTTTACTACGTTTCTATAGGTATATATATATATATGACTCCGTGACAGCCAAGAGAGGAGACATCTGGAGAACGTCCGACACTTACGATGGGCTCTCGTTAATCCTCATTGACCCGCGCGGTAACGGTAGCCGGCTGCAACCCTTTCGTCTGCATTTCAAAGACAGCTTAGGTAAATTACATATGTATGCATCTAGGACAACACGTGCGTCCTGTCGCACGTCGCACTTCGCTGCGTTTCCCTCGCTCGTCGTGGTTAGTCTCGCGACGGGTATAACTCGCTTCTCTTCGACGAATTCGTGAGGATTGCACCAATCGGTCTCTTTTTCCGTTTGCGTAACGCGATCGTTCTGAAAAGATCGACCGCGTTCGTAGACGTGAGGTCGGCGCCGCGGTTGGACGCTGGGTCGGTTGCGCAGGACGACGCGGGCAACGACGACAACGACGACCACGAAGACGACTTACGAAGCCGCGCGCGCGCCCGCTGAATGTTAACTATTGCTTCCCAAGGGCGCGCCGTCTGTGTAGTAACAGCGCGATGCGATCGCTCGGGCGTGAACTGGGCCACATGCGAGAACGGTTGGCCGTTCGTGCTCGTGGGACTTCGCTATTTAGTTCACGCGATCGTATCAATCCCTTTGCAGCGCGATGCCGATACCGTCCTTACGTTGTCGCACCATTATCATTCAAATCTTAAACGTTTCAATTACCGCTCGAGCGCATCTCGCGCATCTTGATATCTTAATTAAAACTTCTATCTTGTTTAAGTAAAGAGAGACACAGACAGATAAATAGTAAAAAAATATCAATTTTTACAGTTAAAAAATATCTAATTGTAAGCACGAGAGATGTTTGCAAATAATTTATGCCAATGCTTCATATTCTCTTTGTTTTACGGTAGTAAAATTAAATTGTTATTCCTCGCGAGCAAACATTTAACTTTTACAGCGGACAGAGATGACATTCTGGAAATCGCGAGTTTAGCAATAATTCGAAGCGCCGGTTGTCGGCAAGGCGGCAGCGTAGAACGTTGTCGGATCGACAGATCCTTTCATAGATCGCGATTTATTGGCTCGTAAACCGGGCGTAAAGCCGACGGTCGCCACGCGGTTTGGCCCACATACGTATACGCAGTTCTTCCCTTCTACCGTGCCTGCCCATACCGATCGTAAATCGCCGCTTTATACGATCGGCTGATCGCCGCGGTGTGCTGAAGCGCGGTCCGCGGTTTCCTTCCTGAACGATGTTTCAGCGTTGCGTCGACCAACGCCGATGAGAAAAATAAGTCGCGGTTTTTCCGCGAGGGGTGACTGATCTGTCATTTGGGAGCTTAGCAAACTCACGAACTCGAGTTAAATTATACATTGCGGACAATACATTTACACATCATATGTATACGCTACATAGTTTTCGTGAATGCTAACGTTACGGACATTTGAGAACAATGGGAGCAAGATATAATTACTTAATTTAAGAAAAAAATGAGAATAAGGCTAAGATACACATATCTTAGCAAAATTTCGAAAACTAAAGTTAATTTTTTTATTTGTATTAATTTTCTAAAAATCGTGATTCTCTTTCTCTCTTTTCTTGGCAGATATTTAATTGCAAACTCCGACCAAATCGATTCAATGATTCTTTACAGACTCGTTTCAGTCATGTAGCGAAGTAATTCTACACGATACGGTATCGATATGCGATCTAGCATACATGATTTATAAATCAGGCGGCTTTTAGCGTCACGGCCGAAACTGTCTGGACGGCAACCGTCGCAACTTGCCGGTGCAATCTGCCGCGTCTGTAATTATCGAATGCTACGACTGAGCTCGAGTGCTGTCGTCGGCTCGTAGGCCGGCGCTAAGCCCCTCGAATCTCGCGCTCTTTACTCGCGGTCTCCCGGTATCGTGGTATCTGTTTCACAGCGGCACTTAAATGGCCGGCAATTAGAAGACGTAATAGCCGCAGTTAAAAAGCGCTTCCACGAAGTCGGCGACTGATCCGTCTCGCGCGTATACACGTACGACGCGCGGCGGAGTCAGGAAGGCAGGCGCGAGGAGGAACTGCCAACCACTCGCGGATTCTTGCCGTATGTTAACACGCGCCACCTTATGCTCATCTTAATGTCGCTTTACGAGAGAGCTAATTGTACCAGCAGAGATATCGCGAAGAGATTGGGTCCATAATCGGCTTTACGGCGCTCTTAATACAAGTGTATATTCCCTGAACATATCTTCTCTGTTATTCTTATCACGGTGCCTATTCTTTCATTCTGCCTCACTCTTCCCTCTCTCTCTCTCTTCTCTCCTTTTCTCTCTGTTCGTATTATGTATTTCATTTTCTTTTATTTCTAATTGTCTTATAATAATAATAATAGTCATAATGCGGGCATATATACATACAATATTCAATTCTTTACTGACCATCGCGATTTTGTGCCGCGATTCACGAGGCGAATCGATTGCGAAAGGAGAATGCGGATCGCTGTTCTCGACGGTGACACACGAGACGCGGACCTACCCGGTGGCGGTGTCTAAAGGGCGTCGCGAGCCGATATATATCTCGTCGCACGAGAGCGGACTGGCATGGACTCGGAGCTAGCACGAAAAAGGGAAAATCCAAACTGGTCGCTTAATCTGTCGTTCGTGACAGGTCTCCGACAATCTACCGCGGCCGAGAAATCGCCGGCGCTCGAGGAAATCGAACGGCCGTACAATTTTTACCCGAGCTTGTTCTCAGAGTGTTATCTCCTTCGCCGGACTGCCACTTTCGTTCCGCTCGCCGTCGTCAAAGACTCCGAAGCGTGCTCCTTGATTTTCCTTAAGTGTGCGCTTAATCGCTGGCCATCTGTTCACGTTTTAATCTTTTGGCGACCGTAATGGCAATATCTTTTTTTTTTTTTACGTCCGCTTAATCTCTCAAGACATTTCATATTATCTTTACGTGTGTTATTTTATATTATGAAATCGCTTCTGATTTAGCAGAAGGCTCGAGTGTGTAATCGTTAGATTATCCAAATGAATATATGCGATTCGTTTGTGACACGTAGTATAGTTGCAACATTCAAAGGACAATTTCTATGCACTGTATGCGCATCGTTGACTCTTCGAAACATCTCATATCCTCTTCCGCCGCCCGATCATGTAGTCCGCTCGCCGGAAATCGTTGTTACTCGCCTAAGTGTCTTTTCGAATTCCCGTCGTCGCCGGAAGCTCGGCAGATTCCCGGCCGAGATCGTAAAAAATCGGAGTTTAATGCGATGACTCCGCCGCGGTGGAAAGTAGTCCAGACTATTTCGGTCAGGAATGACGCTTTTGTGGCGACTGTGTCCTCGATCGGTCGTCGTGGTTTCGACTTTTCGGGCGAGCCCTCATTGTCGAGCGATGAATAAACGCGTCCCCTGAATCATGCGCCATTTTTTTCGATTGAAGAGAGGGAGAGAAGCGAGGAGAAGTGTTGAAAAATTTTTGCGATGTCGGTCGCGCATAATGCGCAGGCCGTTGAGGCCCCGAAAAACAATGGCATTTGCATCATAAATAAACGCGACGCCTGACCTGAATCTCGGTCGCCTTCCGGCGCGACCGGCGCGGATTCTCTTAACAAGCGAACGATATTCTGTAAATTAGTGCACTGGGGCTGTCTGAACGAAGCGAAGTCGAATCGAGTGGAGAGACGAGAGAGGAGAGAGGAGGAGGAGGAGACCGAGTCGAGTCGTTCGCATTCATATGCGACGCGTCACAACGAATTGCTGTCTTTTGGCGATCCTGCCTGCGGCTCTGCTTCACGGCTCGGCCTTCAAACGACCTGGCTCTCCTTTATTTGAACGCGTTCAGGACGACGAATGTGGAATTTTGTCGATACCCGAGAAACCAAAGCGTGAAACAGGGACACACGAGTTATTTACATTATGGCGCAATTACAGCCGCCGGTACTCTCGTTACTTTAAAAGAAGCGAAAGCTTTCTACGGTTAACATTTGCATTTATTCCACTTGTCACATATTGACTCTAGATTCGTCTCACTTCAAATTTATTTCGTTCGTCGACATGAACCGGCGAAAGAACTTTTTATTCCTACGATTGCAGGGAATACACTGAACGATACCATCGCGCGATAATCGATCCGCTCCTGATACGTGTTCGAGGTAACATCATATTTTCAGTCTTTCGTAAGTTCGCAGAACACGGGCACACATGGTATCCTCGCGATACCAAAAATGGAAGAAAGCCGTTGGGAAAGATCCGGAGCAAAAGAAGCCACGGTCGTTGTCGCGCGCGAAGAGAACAGGAGAGAGCAGAAAGATCGTCCTCTTCTCGATGTTACGCCGAGAATTCGAGGCAGTCGTTAGTATGCTAATGAATGTCCCTCGTTTCTTCCGTGACCGCAGTGCGCAACCGCTGAATTATTTCAAATATTTCCAAACGTTCATCGCGTGAGGAGACTAGATCGACTTCAAGTTAGAAATTAGAAATCGTACACTCAGAAAAATATAGTGGTGGTAACTATAAAAGTCACAACTACACACATTAATTCTATATGTAAAATATCAGGTTGGTCAGAAAGTCTTTTCATATTTAAATTCGTAAATACGAAAAAACTTTTTGACCTGATAGTTTAGTATAAAATTGTATAGACGTCATATTTATAGTTACCACATCACTACGTCTTTCTCTCTGAGTGTATAGAGTTTAGTATGTGACGCTTGGCGCATTGTTAATGCGCATACGTATAATTCTTGCCGCTACATTTTCGTGCACTCTTCCTTCTCATCCTTCTTCTGTCCTTTCCGTATCAGGACCGCGATGGCGCCGTTATATTTCTTACGATAACATCGAAACTTTGTGAGAGCGTCCACATGGCGTCCCTTCCCGCTGGTATATAGTCGTACAACCGAAATGACATACGCGATATGATGTCGTTATTAATTTCCTGGGCGGTATTGCATTTCGTACGATCATATCGGGCCATCGCGCGATCATCAATTAAACACGCGAGGCACGGGACATTAATTAATTTCACTTACACGTGAGTGATAATAACTATATCGCGGTTCGATGACCAGTGGCTGTAACTGCGTAACGGAAATAAGGCACTGCATACGAGAGCTGGTTTCATCGTCGGAAGGTTCATGATTAATTCTGTGCAATATATATCTTTCTTATATGATACAAATCGAGGTTAATTTCGATACCGTTAGTTAAAATTTACCGCAAGAAAACGACCCGCGATAGATTTTTTGACAAATTCGATTAAGATACCGCGACCGCCCCTTTTACTTCAGACCCTAACGTGCGGCGAAACATCCTTCTTCCTAGCAGCGTCTCTCGGTTCATTTTAGTTCGGAGAGGAGAGTCTAATTGACCTAAAAGGCGTTATCTGCTACTCCGTCTCCGGGAAACCGTACGCGCGAGCCGTAAGGGTTACCATTACCCGTTGTTGCCTTAATGAGGTCCAATTACTATCGGATGGGTCACTTAGTATGCGGTACTGATACTCTACGGTGTATAGCACACATTAGTGGGACGAAAGGACGAGAGCCAAGGGTCAACACTCCTCGGAGACCTAAGCGCGACCTAACGAGATTCGATCGTCGTCGTCTTCGTCGTAGTTTATTGGTACAATATACGTACTTGCGAGCCGCAAGCGTATACGCGTTCTGGCGCACGTTGCGCAGCCCGGAATCCACCTGTTGAATATTACTCCCTACTGCGTCGACCCTCGCGTCCGACACGCGGAAGCAAACCGCGCCACATTGAGGCAAGATCCCTCCTTTCGTAACTTTCCACTCCTGCGGATCCCATATATTTGTCCCAGAGAAACAGACACGTCTGTTCCTTCGAGACGATTTTCCGGAGACTTCGTTTTGCAACGTCGTCGTAAAATCTTGAAATTACAAATTGTACGCCGTTTCAGAGCGTCAGAACTGGCTAAAGCGCGAAGAAGAAATCAAATCATTTTATGCGATTATTGCGATGGAAGTAAGCGCAATAGCGACGCATTTTTCGAGATATGTTATCAACCCATATACGTTATTATTTCCAGAACACTCATCGCCGATTCACCGCAACGTAAAGCTTCGTCGAACGGGGACGATCCAAGATAATCGATTGGTCGCGCTCGAGTCTCTCGTCCACTTACGGATTCGAACCGGGCAGAAGATTTTTTTTCTCAGTTACTTCTCGCACGCTCGCCTTTTCCACATATCGGACTTTCTCGCCTCTTTTCGTTGACCGTGATTACCACGAGGTATCCCCAACCATCGCAATCTTTTCGTTTTCGCATTCGTCACGGCTTATTAAGTTGCCTCTTCTTTAAACTAGAGTGCGAAACGTGTGCACGCATCGCATACGTCAACTTCTATCAACTCATCGCCGGCGTATCGACTTTTACGACTTCACGAAGTCCTCGCAGCGGGTTAAAATACCGCGTAGAAACTACTTCCGTCCGCTTTTTGCTGACGATTGTCTTTCCGAAGACGAATCGGTAATAAATCACTGTCTCACTTTGTTATATTTCTTCGCAAAATCGCGCGTTTTAGAAATCTATATTTCTTTCTTCCTGAATTTTATGTTATAATATATTACTTTTTCGTTAATGATAGAAATTAAATACTGTACTGAGAAAAATGAAAAGATAATGCGTTAATTAGTTTGCTTCAATCTTTAGTAATTTATAACTAAAACATTTAAATCTCGTAGAAGACACGCGCGATAATAGTTTTTAGGCTACAGAATTATTCCTCGTCTCGTTTTGATAAAGCTATTATTATCATAAGAAAATGACTAGAAGTGTATTGTTTCGCGAGGCTTAAATAACTTAATGTTTTTAGAGAATTCAGAGAGTAATTGTTTAGAAACTAGAAAAAAGACATATTTCCCAGAAGCCTCTTATATAAAAATATTGTATTTTTCTTTATTTTTTCATTCATTCACTTTAATTTTTCATCGATTTTCTCTCAACCATGCATTGCGAAGTTCAAGTCATAATTTCGCGAAACGCGACGGAACTGCCACGCTCGACTTCGTAATTACGCTTGTGTTATTCTTTAAAGTGTGTAGAATTTGCATCACAAATGTTACATAACATGCGACTCGACAATGAACGGAGCGTATGACGAGACGTCGTCGTGTGAATTCTCGGCGTCGCATTACAAAGTCCACGCGTACGCGAAACATAACCGGGATTTATCTGGCTAGTGTAATGTGACATTACTTAAAAAAAAAACTTCGTCATCATTCCAATTCCTCTTACCTTGCAACCCTCGCACGTGAACGCACCGAAATGAAACCCCGCTGCGGGCTCGTCGCATACCCTGCACTGTTGGTTCATCTGCAATTATAAAAATTATAGAAGTTATTCTCTCGAAGGAAGAGAGATACGTCAGAGTCAGTTACTTCGGCTCATCCTTGGAAGAATGAAGTGCGGCGTTACCGGATGGTGGGGCGGCGAACCGGTTTTCTACGTTCGCTTCGATTTTTATTCCTCCCACGATATCTTACGGATGTTCGAACAGGATTTGGAGTACGAGAAAAGTAATTGGAAATATGTTAGAATTTCAAGTATGTTAACGACGATAGGACAAGGGGAAATATCCCGAGTCACGTCCGATCTCGATTGTTCTTTTTTTTTTTCCCTCGGTGAGGTCGCCTAGCCTAAGTATTTTCAGATTACACTACATAACGCGCGCGATGTTAACTCGTGATGATATATCGTGCCCGTACGAGAGTATTTCGTGTATATCTTTTGGATTAGAGATTCGGTATTTTTTAGGTCGATTAGATCTCTTCGCCCGTGGGCATGAAATGGATATCTGAAGAATCATTTAGGTTCCCTTCTTTCCTGAATCTACGTTTCCCCACCCTCTCGTAACACTCCAAATCGAAACCCGTTTTAACCCACTGGCGTGTCATAAATCAGCGCTATCTCGGCAACGGTGCCATCTGCCTCAACTCTGTGTCGGAGCGAGGAACCTATTTTTCGAATAAACTGGAATAAAATTAGACCATTGATGATCCGATAAGGATGTTACGGTCGGCGTTCCTCGTCGCGCGAGTATTTTTATCATCGCGGTATAAAAAATTCTCGATTCTAAGTTGACAGAAACCGGAGGAACCAGCTCAAAATTTATGAATCGTAACTTTATAAAGTTGTATTCCGTTGTATATGATATATTTTATATATATGTGTATATATTTATGTGTGTGTGTGTGTGTGTGTGTGTGTGTGTGTTTTTGGCGTAGCTATAATAAACAACCGAGTTACAATTTAAGTCGCAGTACGTCTCTTTCTTTTAGATAATGAGTGCAAAATGCAGGTTTACGGTTCAATGCGCATATAAAAAAATTAAGGAGGGAGAGATAAAGAGATTTTAACCAAAATAACCTTCGTGAAAAGTATACGTTTCTGACACTTGGTTTGTATCTCTCGCAAATGACGCTATATTGTGACAAGCTGGGCACGCCGAATGATACGTTAAGAGTGCGCGCAAAAAATTAACTGCGTTTGCCCGCCATGAATACTCGCGAGCCGTTTCGGGACGGGAGGACCACCTGCGGATTCGTTGATTTAAAAATATAACCGCGACCGGTAGTTGTTCGGGTTGGTGTACTCAGTCCGGGAGGTGAAGTTCCCCGAAAGGATGCGCCCCCTTTTTTTTATATATGTAGCACGAGAAGAAGAGCACTTTAACGAGAATTCAGAGTGACGGTAATTAGAGCTCCGATACGACACGATCTCGCGCGTGCTGCGTCTAGTCTTTGTAATTGCGTCTCCGAAGAAAATGGGCTGCCGCTCGCATTTGCCGACGAGGACGAACGGATAAAATGAAAAGAGAACGAGCTAGAGAGAAAGAGGAGAGAGAGGAAGAGTCGGTCCGCAGGTTCGTTAAGGTTTCAAGTTTTTTCGCGACGCGGTTGCTTAACACCCGCTGACCCTCCTCCTCCACTCGCAGCGTGTTCGTTGATGAAGCGAAAAACTCTTTCTCTCTCTCTCTCTCTCTCTCTCTCTCTCTCTCTCTCTCTCCTGTTTGGTCTGCTTTCTTGAGCGGTCGAATTTTACGATTCTCATTCATGACAATTAAAACGGCCAATTAATCAGCTGGTGATTTTAACGTCTGTGTGTCTGCGCCAATTTCGATGCCAATAACAGTGCATTCTTCAAGAAAGGATTTCAGAAGAACACGCATCTTGACCCGTGTTTCCCGCGGATATTATATTGGTTTAAATTTTAAAAAATTTATAGAATTGAATTAATATAAATAACGATTGTTATGTGGAAAATAAAGAAGCTTTAAAATATATCGTTTAAATAAATAATAAATAAAGCAAGTTTAAATGAAGTTTAAATAAAATGAATTATATATAGGATTTAAATAATGCGTTCTTGTATATATATATACATTTTTTACTTTTATTTAAATTTATTCTATAATTTTCCTATCGTTGTTCATAATGTACATGTTTCGTAATACGTAATATCTTTAAAATGTTCGTGCTCGAAACATTCGGTCTCAAGACGCACCTCGGCCGACTTTCTGACATTTCTAACGCGTTTGAGTCCGAGACTCGATCGTTCTAAGTGGGTTTAAGAGTTCGAGCAACGAAACCTAATACAAAACCAAATAGAGCAGAGTATACGTATAACGGAGCCACCGGATCGCGCGTGCTTTCGGACCAGCAGACATAGGAACGCGGCGCGAATACGAAGAAAACAATAAGCGCGTAAAGGTCGAGAGAGGCGCGAGAGGTAAAGGCCGAGATGCGAGCGTCGGAGGTGGAGCAATCGCAAGCGTAAAAAATTCCATCGCCCTAATAACTGAGGGGAACAGAACGCCTTCGGAGGAGCGGTGTATGCGCCGTGATTTGCAATAAATCACAGAGCGAGAGAGAGAGAGAGAGAGAGAGAGCACATATAAGTCAGGCCTTCGCGGTGTGGATGATGCGTCGCGCCGTAATCGGTAAACCGTATCATTTACGCGAGGCTGACCCTATTGATTTTACAAAAGATCGTAACTGTTATCTTCAGCAGTAGTCCATGGGAATCAATGTGGGCCAAGGTTAATCTATATCATTGCGACGGATGGTTCTCTTTGCACGCGGAGTTGCGTCGACTTCGAAATATTTACTTGACCCTGCCGGTTCGTCTCGCATACAAATTCGTATCGATATCGGAGAACGTCTCAATCGATGCGAGCATCGATGCGACGATCGCGAAAAATAAAAAAATACAATACGATAATAATGACTTTTGGTCACCAATGTCATTGACTTGGATAGATCGTAGTTCGTGGTGCAATGCACGCAGAACAGGTGAAACGAGAGACGAGTCAAGAAGAAAAGAGGGTCACGGGGGGAAGCCAACACAGTGTAAACACGCGGTGCCTCGTACCCTAGTTTCTGTGGATGGAGTCAATATTTGCCTGGCATCGGTGCGTTAATGAAGTCGATCGACTTGCCGTACCTGCTCCAAATATCAGCTTACCGGGCGCCTCGGCGATAACGACAACGACGACGACGACGACGACGACGACGACGTTGGAAGGGTCACGCGCGATTCTTTTCCTAGCCTTCCGTGTCCGTGTGCTCACACGCGTCTAATGCGGCCCGTATACCTGCAGACGGGGGCACATCGTAGTTTACGCGCCATTAAACACGAGTCCCGTGTGACGTTTATCCCTTTATGAGGCGTTTTTCGACCTGAGAGTCGGGGACCGCTTCCTTTGTCGTTCTTACCCCTCGCTACCGTCGTTACAACCCTTTCTCCGTGCCGACTTTGCGCGCCGTTTGATCATCATTATAATCATTTTGGTAATTGACGACGGAATTCTTTCTCCTTTATACTTCCTTTCGAAAATGAACGAAAATGTTCACGAATCCGTCGAAGAAATATATTTACGTTATAGTTGAGATTTTTCTTTTCTCAAAGGATCCACATTGGATCCACATTAGAGCTAAACCTCGAATCGAATTTCTTCGCAAGGTTCGATAATGTGGACACGTGCTTGACTCACGATCAAGGTTCGGCTTGATAATGTGGATCCACCTTAATAGCGCTAAGTCACTATCTCCCTGAGGGCAAAATGTAAATGAAACTGATTATGTAATGTGTTTACTATATTGTGACAAATAATTTTCTTGAACCTCGAACTAGTTCACGTCTGTTCGAAGTTCTCGTGTCAGAGTATATGAACGATGACTGGTAGTAAAAAGCGCATGTGATTCATATGGGTCACGAGCGTGAGGCACAAGCGATGTAAGAAGAAATGAAAAGATTACGAAAGCATCTCGATCGCTTGCGACAGTTGCTGCCAGAGGAAGAAAAATCGTTTGATAAAGAGAGACGCAGAATTACATAGATAAAATTAGTGACATCATCATACTGCGTCATCATCAAGACAACAGTTCATAATGTTTCTCTGTATTCGATTTTTTAAAAATATTTCTGAGTTAAAGAATGACGTGAATGACATTTGGGACATTCCACACGTATTTGTCTGCGAAGTTAGACAAACGGCGATCGTTTACGTTTGAAGGTGCTAACTCGCAATATTCGGTTAATACTATGCGAAGCTCGTCCGTTACGAGGAATCTCGTTTTACGGGACACTTTGCGCAAACTGGGTATAATTATTTTTCCGTGACGCTCGCAGGCGCGTCCGCCGTTATAATTCTTCGCGGCAACGAGAGTACACATTAGAAGCGCAGTTTGCGCGATATAATTAATCGGCGGTGTATTAATTCACATATTTATTACACACCGCGTTAAGAATGAGCACTTGATTACTGTCCGGGCCGTGATATACGGCCGGTGATTTTTCTCAGTGCGTTAATGAGTCAATGAATCTACTCGAAAGAAGGAGTCGATATATCACCCGGGATACGCGTTCGAGTACGCGAGCGCGCGTCCGCGCGCGTTTGCGCACGAAAGTTCCTCGTCTCGATGTTATCGGCGCTTAATTATGCGCGGAAGGATTACGCTCAAATAAATGCATACGCCGTATATAATCGACTATTACCGGATTACATAAAATAAACAGGATCTTGCGCGAGCACACATGTGTATGAAGAGTCTTCGCGAAGCGGGAGGCGAACGATGGAAAAAGACTTCAAGAAAACTGGTTCTCTCTCACTGAGCATGAACGATAACATTAATGGAGGACGGAAAGTTTTTAATAGTCTTTTTGATGATCTAAACGAAATACATCGTAAACAGCCCGTAATCGATAAAATACTGTTTTTGGCACAAATAATCGTGATATTAATTTTTATTAAAGCATAATAACATTTTTTGTTTTTAGAGACTAACTTGGAAAGAAAGATTTTTAGGAAAATATTTTAGCGCGATTTTAATAATAAATCGTTCTTTTAAGTAAATTCTGTGTGCTCGCGTTAATTAAATGCCGAATATCACTAATTGTAGGTAAATTAAGATTAATTCACGATCATTATTTATGATAAGGAAAAAAATAATACCATAATTTTTATAAATAAGATACGTTCACTCTCTATGTTACTCGTGCAAAATGAAGAGATGTACAGTTTGTCGTTTTGTATAAAAATCTACGAAAAAGTTTTAAAATTGAAGCAGAATGCAACGCATGACAATTTGTATTGGCGTCAATGCGTTTTTAACGATCCCTTTGATGGATGGTAGCCGCTCATTCAAAGACGCGTCGATCGAATCCCTGAAAAATGATCTTTTGCATCGGTTCGCACATTCTCAACGGGAGTATATAGATGTAGCGATGCGCCAGTATATAGGGTGTACACCGAACGGCACGTTTTTACAGAAACATAAGGATAGAAACACAGAAACAGCTATCCGAAATTAGAAGAATAATAATTGTTGTAATACGACGGTATGAGGATACGTAATTTCAAATTAAGAAAACTTAACATTAACATTAAAAATTAAATATTTTTAGTTAAATTTTGCGGACAGCAAATAAAAGCTTAATAAAAATTCTAGTGAACTTTACTTGTAAAATATTTAAATCGTGTCATGATTAAGTCCAATTCAAGATTCAAATTTTGATGAAAAAGAGAAAAAAGAAAGCATGACAATGAAATCTTTCAAAGGATCTTCCGTTGAGCTCGCACGATTTTTCATCACACCCTGTATGCATATAGCCGCTCGTCCGTCGAGCATATGGCAAGGTAGGCAGCGGAGTTCCTTTTCGGTTAATATGTTTTCGCGATCCACAATGCGCCTGGTCGGGAGCCAAAGACAATTAATAATCTTCCGGAGTATCATTTATCGCGACAGTTTAGCCTCACGTTAGAGCGATCTCGTCCTAGCGAGTAGCGCGAGGCGGCGCATAAACGCCGTGGCGCAGGTAGCCACGTCGTAGATGACATTGTCTGCCTCCTCGAGCCGTGACCGATCCGATTTTTAACAGCGATTTTGCGTCCGCCACTCGAGAGTCAATCGAGAACAGTCGCCGTGCGCGCGACCCTCTCGCACTCTTGTGGGAATCACGATGGGTGCTCCACTCGGAAGTACCGTGATTCGTTATGCCCGCGTTATGCCCCCGTGCATGTGCATGTGACTGCACATGTACCACGTTGCGCCAGAGCCTCTAGCCGAGGAGCAGCTGCTTCCACGAAGACGCGATGCGTTTCGCGAACGGCACGTTCCGAAGCGCCAAATGAATGCATAACGTTACGAGCGGTCGAGCAACTTGGAGGAAAAAAAAAATCCATGACCGACTTTGGCAGGAAAATCAATATCGTCGTGTCATCATCGTACTTCGAATTGTACGTGCGATAGGGAATGAAGTAATGAGAATTAACGTGGAAGAACTTGACGCTAAATATTGATTTCGTGAAATATACGGGAAGAGTAAACGATCAAGAATCTCTGCACGCGTATTTTGTGTATATAGGTATTCGAAGAAAACATATTGCATGCAATTGTGACTAAGCAGTGATTTACATTCGCATTGCGTTTTGCCATACAACGTTGCGTGACGAGATCGTGCATGGTCATCTAGATCGTGATAATTTACTTATTCAGGACTTTTCTGCAAGTCCAAAAACATGCTGAACACATTGTAGTAGCCGAATGTTGTCTAGGTGGAAAAAGCGTATCACGTTATTAAATAAGTTAGTTGAACGCGAAAACGTGCAGCGAAACAAATGTTTCCATCCTTGTAAGATTCTAAAACGAACGTTTCATTGTACGTTTACCGTTAAATATTTAATCATCAAGTCTCAAAAGCAATATTCGAATAAATATGTAATATCTTTTGAAACAAGAATGAACAATCGTAGAGTCGGAACTCGATCGTTAAATAACCGCGTATTATAATGGAGGGTACCTTGGAATATATAAAAGCTCCGGGTTTTATATCTGTCTTCTGCTTACTCCAAGACGCACGAGACCGGTATGCCTCGCCGGCGCAATTTAATCTCCCTTTATTTGGCGATTAAGCGCGCCACCATTGATTTATAATCTCATAAAAGGCCGAAGGCACGGTCCTGTAACGACGCCGGCAATATCGCAAACCGAAAGAGCATCGGGACGTGTGTGTATGCGTACGTATACTCGCGCATAAGTCGCGCGTGAGCCGCGATATAAGTGCGATTTCCACGAAAGCGACATTTAAAATTTTACACGCGATCTCGTTGACGAAATCTCCGAAGTTCTCGATATTAACTTAATAGGAATGCACAATTTAAGTGATAACGCGCATTACTCAGAGATCCGTTAAACTTTCGTCGTTAAAATTTTACGGAATGGAAATTTTATCTACAGTTACGTGAATATTGATTACTTTGTTATTAAAAAATCATTTTGCTAGACAGTTGTATCATTATTATGTAATCATAATTTTTTATATATAATATATCTCTTAGAAATAACTACTCGCGAAGAGATGTTCTCGCTTAAGTAAGTCTGACTCCAGGCAACTGCTTCACCAGTTCAAGACGTGAGCGCAGTACTCGAGTATATATATCTGCGATTATCTTTTGCTCTCGTCCGCGACGAGTTTCACGGTGTACACGATAAGACGATCGGATCGTCCACTCAGCGCGGTTGCCTTCCGTAAGGCACGTTGTCATTCTAACGGAAGCGGGACCGAGTGTAGATCGGTGTAATTCACGGAGTTATCGCCGAGCGAACAAAGAGCATCGATTTAGATTAGAAAAGTAACGGGTAATTTGCGTGCACGCCGTTAAACGCGCCTTTTAAACGATCCAGATAAGATAAAGAGAGAGACATTTCCACGCATTCGCACGTTTCACTTAACTCCCGCTCGACCGCAGTTCACCATGTCTGTTCTAAGAAAATATTCCATTGTGTTCCAAGACTCGGTTATTTTTATCTTGCACTTAAAAAAAATTTAGCGTGCAAGTATTTTCTTGCGGACCAATACGACGTGACTGCCATGTGAGAGAGTTGGATTTGAGAATGCAGAATCCTTAATCGAATATTTCATTTACACTTTACCGCCACGGTTAGGTCAGGGTCTTAGGCTCCATTCGGAATCGGACAAAAAAAGATAATACGCGTATTTGTCACGATCTCTTGGTACTTCCCGCATGACTTGTAAAGGGTGGCAGAGTGTAGTGGCGGCAAAAAGGCGTTAAGTCAGATCACGACCCCGTGACGGCGACGTGCCACGCCGGAAGGGGGTTAATATGCAAATGAGACGCGACATGACGCTTAGGTCGGTATGCATAAAAGATTTGCGACGCCGGTTGCACTAAAATCATGCAAATCTAATCTTTGCGTATCACTAGATCAGAGATGACGCGATGGGATATTTCAGCTATTATGCTACATTTGTTATGTAACATCAAAAAGTACAAATAACAAAAAGAAAAATATGTACATAATTTTTCTTTATTTTATGATAACTAATCTATTTTCTGTTCAATTCAGCTTTATGTTCTACATAGAAATGAAAGAATGAAATTACTTCAACATACATATTTGATTTATTCTTACGATCCTAATTCCTTCAAGTTATTAGAAATGAAAGACTTTTGCTATTAAATTTTGAAGTGTTAAAATTACAGAAAATTCAATTCTCGTTTAAAAATTTGTAACCAAATATCTTTGTTCAGAATATTAATTACATTAACATTTTTCTTAAATTCGATGGTGAAATCAACGCAGAAGTTTTGTGATAAATGATATGATATTGAAAAATTCACAGTTTATCTATTATACTAACTTATGTTAAATATATCTTATTATGAATCCGTTTATATAAGCTTTTATCCTACTTCGTGCGAGAATATCGATGTCCCTCGTAACTCTCATATTTAACTTTCCGAAATGAAGATGCGTCCCTGAGCACGCAACTCGTCGCGCGAGTGTACGCGTGCACGTGCATGAGCAATGAATCGGAGCGGCAGAAAGATCGGAGACAGAGTGAGAGAGAAAGAAAGAAGAGAAAGAGAAGATGTGCGCGATTCTCTTCTCGGACCTCTCTTGAGCATAGAGCTCGGCGGATATACAAGTGGGTAATAACCGTATGAAAGGGTAACAAAGGTGGCTGACACACCGCGGTCGACGTAAAGAGCAGGGGGCAAGGGTATGGGCGCGGGCAAGGGAATAGCAATAAATATATTTTGACATGGGAGAGCCTCGCCGACGGTCTTATGCATAATAATTGTAACGACCGTCTCTCTCGCGCTTGCACGGTACAACACTTGCGCACAACGTACGCACGCGGGCAAGACGTCGTCGCTCTTCGGGCCCTTTGTGTCGCCGAATTACGGTACTGCTGGCTAGCAGTAGGCAAATATTATAGCAACAGGCGGCGACGAGGGGTAACGATAATGTTTTCATTTGATGACGACTAACCTCGACTAACCGCACGTGAGATCGCACATTGGGGAGAGGGTCCCCCTTATCTGCTTCTTCCCCCCCCCCTCTCCTCCTTCGAACGATCACGAAGGCACGCAAGTCGAAGGAGCTTTCTCAGAATTTACGAATACGCATGTTGAATAGCATTGTATACATGAATGAGAGAGATCACACACAATTAATGTAAGTTCAAGAATTTATACATTTATCAGAAAAAGAGCAAAATTACACACGCATCTTAAATCTTTACTTTATTTGTAATACGTTGGAGAGAATTATTTCTTCTGCAATATAGAATTAATGATTTGATATAACCCAGCTCTATTACGGAAATTATAAATAAATGATGTTTGTATTGTGAAAGAAAAGGAAATTATCAATAATTCTGTTGTAACACTATTTCCACGTGATTTCGTAATGAGCATGAAATCAGGGCACGTATTATGAAACTGTTTGGAATGGGTTCCGATTGGAATTATTCCGTTTTTCCTAGCAAACACACAATAGAAATCTAATTGAACAATTTCAATTGAAATTCATTCCGAACAGTTTCATAATATGTGCCGAGGAACCGGAGACTTTAATGCTTGGCGCGATGTACAGTGAGAGATTCAAACGCAAACTTATCGGCATTGTCCGTATCATTAACGATGATTATCAATATTTTTCTTATCAACGTACATCGCGTAAAATAACCATAATAGCAAATTCATGGCAATAATGTTGACTAATAATGACAGAATATTATTAATACATTTTTAATTATAAATTAAAATATCATTAATAGTGTATCTCTGTAGACTATCGAAATGTTCAAAGTAAGATGACTCACCTCACTCAGATAAATTGAAAATCCACGCAAACGTCAGTCCCGTTTCTCGGATCACTAAGTCAACAAATAAGAAAAGTGTTCTCGCCGAAGCAACTGTTTTCCAGTCCGCTATCATATGTTACACATCGTATCTCTCGTTCCCAGGAAAACGTTCCGTTTACTCTTATTATATCGATTATGTCTTATCTTCGATCACATGTTCCTTCAAATATTTAACGTTCTAATTTGACGAAAGTCGTTTCTTCCGCGTAATAGCCGGTGGTCTTCTCGAGAGCTTCGCTGATACGCCGATCAGTCTTCTGCATAGACCGCTACCGGCAGTGTCATGCCGGTTGTCTCGATTCCGTCGACTGAACTATACAATTTCGATTGATCGTAATTCACGCACTTCCTCGTCCGATATTTATTCTATTTCTTTTCTCTCTCTCTCTCTTTCCTCTCCTTCTTTTCTACTTCCCCCGCTGTTTCCTCGCGATTTTTCCTCGGTCGCTGCTCGTGGTCGTCTTTGTATACTCTCGATCTCTCTCTCTCTCTCTCTTTTTCTCTCCCCCCCTCTCCTTCTGTCTCTCTTGTATGTGCACGTGTGACGGTGCGACTACGACGATGGACGAGAAAGGACTGGTGCTGTACGATCGCTCAGACCTGTTTGACTGCATCGAAGCGCCTGAGGAGAACCGTGCCGTACCGAAGGAACGATTTTCCTCCGTATAGTAAGAGCCATCTGGGGAGCTGTTCTTACCCATCGGTTCACGCCTGTGTCTGGGTCCGCCAACGGCTCCAGTCCGGGCCCGATCGGTCGACCAATCGGTGTGCACCGGTTCCCGGTACCTAGGCTGTCCAAGTGCCACCCATCCGTCCCCACTTGTAACCGGCTCCACCACTCTTGAAAGATCCCAACTACCGGCCCTCGCCAACCGCAAATACCGTCGCTTCGCTAACTCGTTCGTTGACGACTTGAATTTTTTTATCACAGATACATATATATATATATAATATGTAAGCAGAGAGGTGAAGAGAGGATGAGAGAGAGAGATGGAGGCATAGTAAGTTGTTATTTTGCACTTATTGTAAAATTTTTCCGCTTTCCTTTTTCCCTTATTGATGTTAATTAGATTAACAATGATTTTAATTACGCTGCTAATTATAATAATGTAAATCGCTAATATTTAAACTTTTTTGTAAATTTATTTGTGATATTCCAGTTATATTACAGAAATATTACAATGTTGCTGCAATATTATAGTTATAATTTCTGTTTGCTGGGAATAAAAGGTTGACCATTGCCTTCACTATTCCTTGATAAAATAGTAAATTTATTTGTGAATAAAATTACGAGGTTTGTTATATATTATTTTATTAAGGAATAATGAAGACAATGGTAAACCTTTTATTCCCAGCAAACAGAAATTATAACAATAATATTGCAGCAACATTGTAATATTTCTGTAATATAGCTGGAACAATGTTGCTGACTTGCTGCAACATTGCAGTTATAATCTGTGGTTTGCTGGGATTTTATTTATTTGAACATTTCAATACACAGAAACTGTTATGATTTTGATATATATATTTGATAAATGATATATATATATTTTTTTTATTTTTTATTTTCTTCTCATAAGTGAATAAGTTCTTTTCTCATAAGTGAGTAATTTTCTGTTATTACGCGTCATACGGACGATCACGCCAACAAATTTTCCACGTAATACGTTTTTTTTCCTGGTTGAAGTCACAGGTATTTTCAGTTTTCTCCAGTGTGGCGAATATTATGGCGGTTTCTCAAGCGTAGACAAGAGGTTTCCTCGTCACTATTCGGTATTTGAAATAGCGCTCTTACGACGCTCCAGAATCCGGCTGCGGAGAGGACGAGTCTTTTCGCGACGCTCGCGGTTTGAGCAAAGGCTCCTCACGTCGCCGATACGGGCTTTATTTGCGTATGCTAAATGGTGCACGCACGTGGTTTCCACATTCTCTCGACGGCTAATCACACCGCAAATAATCGTGAGCACGCGGCGTGAATCCTTTAGTCTACAGACGTACTTTACGACACGGCTTTGCCATTCGGAACGGCTTTGCCATTTGGAACGGTCATATTTTTCTTCTATCGTACCATGCGGTTTGTAAAGACAGTTTAGACAGTGAAGGCTTTTTCGTGGAATTCACGAACTTCTATTGGGAACTTTTTCTCCTGGGCATGATTTGTAATTAAGAGCAGCACTTTGAGAAAGGCTTTGAGAAAGGGACAAATATGTGGAAGACGATTTCATAATTCTTGTTTGATGTTACTCTCTTATTATTTATATATTGTATTACCAAAATCTTAATCTGGTGTTACTCAAGCGGGATATGACAAATCTTAGATACCATAAGTTGTTTTTTTGTAAGCATTATTTTCATAACTTTTTTGTCTGTTAATAAAAAAAATTTTTTTAATGATTTAAAACTTTGACAATTTTATTGATATTATTTAAATCCAGAAATTAAACTTAATTTAATATATTTTAAGAAAATTTCATATTATTACGTTTTTCAGTTCTTAAATTTAGCTGGTTTTTGGAAATTTCGTCTTGGAGTAACTTGTTACATATTCTCACTTTACAAGGTTACTATAGTAATGTCGGGTGTTGTGCCGATTGATTGAAGATTATTTGATATAATAAAAAGGAATGTTGTCTTGGAAGTCATTTTTTTTAAGGATAGATTATAAAAGTACATATATTTTTAGTATGTCCTATACGAACGCGACAAATACTGATGACATTTTAATCTCTTGTCCTATTCTCGCTTTGTCGTCATTGGCTGACTTTTTTTCACGTTTTATCGTGTTCATAATATCGATCGCTTTTACGAACACGTGGAGCAATTAGTGCATAGCGATGAGTTAAATGAATCAAAACTGTATGCGACCGAGCGCAAAAGTGATCTTCGTCATTATAAGGGAGATACATTTTTTTTCTTTCGAGAGAAGCGTCGGAATCTCTCGACGATTATACGTCGCGACCGTATTAAAGATCCAGCGGGTCACAAAGCGACTGGCTCGACTTCAATAAAATGTCGGAAGACGCACGGGGGCGAGGTCGGGCCGCAGTCGTGCGAGCGACGGGGTACGTCGATGCTGTAAATTAGGAAGATGTGTCCACTCGTGGAAATTAAACCATAGAAACTGGTTCCGAACGTAAAACGCAGTCTCCTCTTGCTGCACGTGACTCTCTTTTTCTCCATTTCATCTTCTCTCCGTTCCATCTCTCCCCTTTCTTCGTCGCACTATCGTTTTCTCTCTTTCTTTTATCTATTCATTCAAGTATCCCTTTCACCTTCGCCGCTTCACCTTTCGATCGTTCCCTTTATTCTTCTCGTTTTTTAATCTCACTATCTTCATTCTTCTTTTATACTTGTGCTCGTCGATAGTATTATTCATCTCGCTTTCTCGAGTAACATTGATTTGCCGGAGGATAATAAACCGGCGAATTCATAAGATTTCATCGTAAAGATGTATGCGAACAAACAACGAATGCGAATTTTTGTTATTATAATTAGGTATAGTGGAGATGTGTATATCGTCATGTTCAACTTGTGTTTAGGTTGATTTATTCATTAAGCGATTAATTTATTAAGCAACATTAAAGAAAAATAATGTCTCACATTTGAAAAACATACCTTTTCACTTACATAGTTATGAATTTAATTATGATGTCTTGTTGAATAAAATGGAAAAATTCGGTGAATCGAATGGAATCTCTTTGCAAATATATAGACGTGTCGGACGGACATTAGTATTCCCGATTGTGCAGGCGATGAAAGCAATAAAAAGAGCATTAGAAGATTAGAATTGCGTAAAGCTTCAAGATGACGATTATTAAATGGTAGATTAGAAGAATAAATTTTTTGCAGAGGATCGTATTCTTATTTTCATCATTGATCGTGATTCGTTGATGATCGTGCATAGTCGTGATGTTTCCTGTGGAAAAAAAACTGCTGTAAATCCGCCGATGTATGGCAACAAGAGAGGCACTGCAGACAACGTCAGATTCGTGATCAATTGGCCGCATATAATCCGGATGTATCTACGCGTTCGGCCGTCCGTTCTCCTTTTTGTCTGTCGCAGTCTCGTCCTAGTATGAATGCTCGTTCATGCAGAAGCCTTTCTGAAGAAGGCAGATGGGACTAATATAGACTCCATTCTGTCCCGAAGATATGAACTCATTCTTTCGATAGTGTCGGAGCTGCCCATCGACACGGAAACAAATAAGATTTATCGTTCCGTGTTTCGCTGCGATCGCCCCCTTGCCGCTGGAAAACGGTTGTGATAGTTTTCGTCTCGTATGGCAGTACAAAGATACTCACGCGTAAAAAACGAGGAAAAATAACGAGGAAACCGATTCGTTATTTTATTGAGGTAGATTCTATGTGTTGCATTGTGAGGTCGATATGCAATTAAAATACGAAGTAATAAAGTATTGATATTATTAGGTTTAATTTAATTGTTTTGACATATAAATTTAATTAGAAAATAGGAAGAAAAATGTGCGTAAATTTGTATTCAACACAACATTTTTTATTTATTTTTATGTGTATATGATATTTAGATATAACTAAATCTAAAATGGAAATTTTTTAATCTAAAATATTAATTTATTTTTAATTTATATTCATTGTATAAAAATGCAAATAAGATGCAAGATTCTAAAAATACTACTTATATTATTGTATTATAACAATTAATACATACATATATATATATGTATATATATATATATATTAAATTTAAAAAAATGGTGAAGATGAGATAAAAGTATGCAAAATTAAGTGAACATTAATGAGAAATTACAAAATTTAAATCTATGTACTATACATATATACTACGAATATCTTATATACATGGAAAGAACGATTTTATTGAAATATTTAAAATATACCTGGACACAAATCTGAAAGTTTTGGACCATCAAAATAATTATATTGAAAACTTAAGCATGATGAGCAATTTTGTAAACATTTTTTATATTGTAATAATTAGTTTGACTTTTCAACATAATTATTTTCATGGTCCAACAAAATTATTTTCAGATTTGTAGCCACCTAAATTTTAGATACTTCAGCAAAATAATTCTTTCTACACGTATATTTTTCAATTTTACACAATTTTTTTTGTGAGAAGTAATAACATGATGGCTTGAAGAATGATTCGCTATATATACTTCATTGTGCTCTAAAATGCAGGCCCATTATTTCCGAAGATACGTACATATAGGTACATTACGGCTCATAAATCGCGGAGTAGTATACAGACTCGTAAACATAAAGTGCAAACGTATGTTTTTCACGATCGAGAGACCACTAAAATCCCGGTGACAGTGATATCGGCTATCGCAGGCCTCAGACAACGGGAACAGTCGTAAACCTTTCTGCACGTGACGCACGAAATTCGCATTGCGATCGTATTTTCTAACTGAGAATCGGCCGCCGTGTAAAAATACGATTCGCGATCGAAAACACAAATACCTGAAAATAAATCAGAGTAAAGAAATTATAGTCGCAATCTCGCAATAATTCTTGCATAACAACCGGATTAAAAAGAAAAATAAAAACAACCGTATGTACAATTCAGATTGTTTTGCACGAATTCTAGACTTCGCAAATCCTTAAAATTTTTTCGTTTGAAATGATCAATCGCTTTTTATTCGATTAGTATCGTCAAGCATAATATAATTAGAGTTATTAGTTTTTCTTTCATTTATAATCATAATCTGTTTTGTTTGTTTCTGTACATTTTACCTAATTATTTTTTATATCACTAATCTGACTAATGTCTAATAAAAAATTACATATACAAATTCTAACGATATCTCGAAAACGGAGAAGTATTATTATCATGAAATAAGGTAGATCCATGACGAAGGATGGAGTTAACGGTTTTACGAAAGCATGATCGTGCAACGCAGGATTTCTCGAGATAAGATGTATGATCGCTTCTAGCGGAGAGAGGCGCAACATAGGCTCTAATGTCTTTTCGTATTTGAGTTTGGATCCTAGGATGCGCTCA